AACTCAAAGCATTCTAATATCGTGGTACGTTAGTATGGAACTTCCTACTTTTTACTGAGATGACCTGCGAGGGAAATAGGGAACAAAGATTTGATAAGCTCAAAGACGACAACCGGAAAATTGTTATGGCGTACCAATTCCCTCCGGTGGAAGGGAGACATTCCTATTGATGCAACAAACTCCTTCCTCAATTGTGGATGATCGGCAAATCCATTTCTTTTTGACTCAAAGCACAAGAAAATCAAAACTAACACAAAAGTAAGGGAATAGCGCGAAACGCTACCTACTGATATGCTTAGCCTAATACAATAGTTTGGTTGAGCAGTGACCACTTGAATGATAATACTGAAGACAGAACAACCATCATTTCAAATAGTATTCTTAAGAAAATCCACTTCCAGGAGATAGTGGCGTTCAGCTTTCATAACCAACGCAAATGAGCTTTCATGACTGCATTTAATCAGGTATCTTCCAAATCGACCCTCAAAGATGATTGTTTACCAAAAAAAGGAGAAATAGCACAGTACTACGACAGCAAGATCAAACGATTTTATCCAGAGGAATAAAGAGATATCCAAGATATCATTACCACAACACATTGACTATATCCAGAAAGTTCTTCATAAGATATGAACACCAGTGTACAATGCAATATACTTATAACACCAACAACAGATCCCCATGTTCCAATCCATAAAGCGGTCGAAAGAAAGGAGAACAAACAACAAGTTTTCAGCTAAAACAATCAGTTTAACTTATGAGCTAATTTGTGCAATGATTTGAAAAAAGCAATCCTAAGCGGCAAATTCGTCAGCGCTTTCAGTATCTTTGGTGTATTCAGCAGCGAAACGTCGGAATTTTGCAATAAGAGCATCTAGATGAACTTCTCCACGGACCTGGAAAACTATTATTATACCAGCAAAACCAAACAAATCACTAGAAAAACTTGCCGCGTTATCTCTTGTGCGAACATTTACGGTGCCATTTTCCTTCTCTTTTGCTCCAACAACAAGAATGAAATTGAACTGAGCCAGCTGGGCATTACGAATTTGCTTATTTAAAGTGTCAGGGCAACCCTCGTCAAATTCGACCTAAATTCCCGAACTTCAATGAAGCAAAAATCTAAGCATTACGAGATGGTAGTGCCTCAAATCCTTCAGCGTATAGCTTGTTCTTGACGTCTCTGGCATACGCATTTACAGATTCATGGACAGTAATGACTTTCGCCTAAAAAGAAAACTGCATACTGTAACAAAAGCATAGTATCAGTTTCGCACCTGACGAGGTGATAGCCAAAATGGCCACTTTCCGCCATAATTTTCAGTCAGAATGGCTGTCATTCTTTCGACAGATCCCAATATGGCACGGTGAATCATAACTGGTCGTTGCTTTTCGCCTTTGTCACTACAAAAGAAGTCTTTTTCAAGGTCAGAACAAACATCTTGTTGGGGTGAGATAGGCGATCACAAAACACTCACTCGAAATAGGTCAGATCAAAGCGTTGAGGTAACTGGAAATCCAGCTGAATTGTAGCGCACTGATGATAACGTCTCAGCGCATCTTGGATCGTAATATCAATCTAAAATAAAAACTAGGGCCTACAAAAAAAAGCCTATAAAAAAAGCCGTACCTTGGGCCCATAAAATGCTCCATCTCCTTCATTTAGCCCCCATTCCCTACCTGATTCGTTCAGCACAGCTTTCAAATCAGCTTCAGCTTCATTCCATGTCTTAAACAACCTACATAAATTTTGCATGATCGAACAGAAATTTTGAAGAAATACCGAGATCTCTCCTAGGAAGCCCTCCGGTCGCGTGGCGAGATTGAGTTTAAAGGTAAACCCGAAAACGGTCTCGTAACAATAGGACAGAAAATCCAGACATCCCTAAAAGCAAGTAATTTGCTAGCGCGCATGGCAAAAGAGATTTCTGCTGAGTGATGGACTTAAAGCAGACTAAACCAATCAAAAGAAAACTCTATGTTTAAACGGAAGTTCGTGTATGAGCAACTTTGACTGATTCTCAAATTTTGTAACACTTGCTCGGCATGATTCAATCCAGAGTTGAAAAGAGCAAAAAAAGCAAAAAAACATTCCGACATAGAGGCTGTGAAGGTACAGAAAACAAACTCGAATTTCATCGCTGATCTGATCCTTGCGGCAGAAAATGTGGGCATCATCTTGCTGGAAACGGCGTACTCGTGTTAGACCGGTAAGGGCTCCTGACATTTCATTCCTACAAGCATAAATATCTTCAAGTACAGTGAAAGATGCCACCAAGTTCTCGCAGTCATCCAGAGATATGACGAAAGATGTGTCGAGAGCTTTGATAATGGATGGACGAGAGATATCCTTGCTCCGCGTTATTAAAACTACCAATATCATAAGTTTGCACCTCTCATAATGAAGAAAACAACGCTATTTAGCTTCAAATAATACTCTACTAGTGGATAAAGGTAATTTCAAAGAAAAAAAAAAGTAAATTTGATTACGGAAAAGAGATATATTGGTATTGAACTGAAAGTAGCGTGAAAAAAAATGTGCCTAAACAAACTACTATTAGTAAAAACAACTAACCTATGCAAGACACCGAAGTCTGCGTAGCGCATCGGCAACTCGTTATAAGTGTGCGGTTGATGGCTATACATGAGACAATGTCCAGGGCAGTTCATTGGTTTTAAACCGAACTGCTCCTTTTCCACTTCGAATCTACAATAAATGTAGTCAGATTCAGAAAGAGCAATGCGACACTTATACTCACCTGAACATGTCTTCTGCGTAATGTTGCCAATGACCAGAAGTCTCCCATAACTTGCTATTAAACATATTCGGTGTAATAACCTGAATGCAAAGTAAGCAATAGGTTTGATTTTGCTTGTAAATAATTGCTTAGTCAAACCTCGGTGAATCCACGCTTTCTGTATTCTTTCCGCATGAAATTCATTAATGTATTGTAAATGTGCGCGCCCTTAGGATACCAGAAAGCAGATCCAGGTGAAAGTGGATTGAAGAAAAAAAGTTCTTGGTCTCGGCCTAGCTTACGATGATCTCGTTTAGCTGCTTCTTCCTATGGAAAAGATGAAAGATCTACTGAAACGAATGTGTCTGAAACGAGGAGCATACCTGAACTTTCTGCCATTCCTTAAGCTGCTTCGGATCGGGAAACGAAATGCCGTAAATTCTTTGCAAGCTCTCTGCATCTGCCTTCCCTTCCCAATAAGATGATGAAGATTTCGTGATTTGTAAAGCCTTAAAACACGAGTATGCGAGGACGTGTTCATGCATCCCCGTGAATTTAAGTCAAAACAGTCAAGTTTGAAACACCCACCTTAATCTTTCCGGTGTGTCGCACATGCGGTCCTCGACAAAGATCGATGAGTGGTCCACAACGGTACACAGTAGTTTTCGGGGTATCTATTTTTTCATTGATGATGCGAACCTAAAATGGTGCTACATTTAAGTCCTTTAGCAGTGCTTCCCT